GCTGTTCTCTGGTGTTCAGTCTTCACCTGCTGACACATGAGACATTGGCTACACAAAATCTTCAATGTGTTTCTTCATTCCACTCCAATAATAACTGGCGATGAAGATTATGGTACATCTTTTGTGCCACCTAGATGCACAGTAAAACAAAAGCAATGAAACTCTCCTAAGGATCTCCTATCTCAGCTCCGCAAACTGGAGAACCACAATCCTTCCCCTAAACTGAAGACTACCATCCGTATGAATGGTCCAGCCCTCATCACTTGTACCTGACTATACTCGGTCTCTAATGGATAAAATATCTATATCCTGTCTGTGGGACTCGATCACTCTGCTCAGTAGGGAAGGCGTAGCCACTAAACTCCCCAAAAGTGCCCTGAGCCTGGCCCATGTAGCATAGCCCGAACTGTCCCACGTCTCGAGAATCTGCCACTCCAGGGAAGCCACACTAGCCCATACTCCTTGTGACTTCCTGCTGAGTGCATCAGCCACCATATTTGGCCTTACCGGAATGGTAATGCAAAGTGAAGTCATAGTCCTCCAAATACTCCATCCACCTACATTGTCTCATGTTAAGGTCCTGCTATGTAAAGATGTACTTCAGAATTTTGTGGTTTGAAAACACCTCGAATTGCTCACCATATAGATAGTGGCGCCAAGCCTCAAGGCAAAGACTATGGCCGCCAACTCCATGTCGTGCGTAGAATAGTTTTGCTCGTGATTCTTTAACTATCAAGAACCATAAGCCACCCCTTTCCTGATTGCATCAAAACACAACTAAGTCCATCCTTCAAGGCGTCACAATACACTGTTTACCTTTGTCTTCTTCCTAGGACGATCAAAATAGGGGTGGAAGTAAGCCTCCTCTTCAACTCTTGGAATTCCTTCTCACAAGAATCATCCCACTCAAACTTGACACACTTTTCGGTTAACTTGGTCATAGGTGCAGCTAATCGAGAGAAGTCCTTAATGAACCTCTGGTAGTACCCTGCCAATCCCAAGAAACTGCATATCTCGAAGACTGACTTTGACCTCTCCCAATTCATAACCACCTCAAACCTTCTCTAGGTCCATGGATACACCCAAAAGTCGACACCACGTGTCTTAAAAAGTTCACCTCTATAAGCTAAAATTCACACTTGCTGAACTTGGCGCACAACTGATGGTTTCTCAAGGTTTGGAGAACAACCCTCAAGTGACCCTCATGCTCCTCTTCAGACTTGGAGTAGATCAAGATGTCGTTAACAAAGACCACGATGAATTGATATAGGTAGGGCTAGAACACCCTATGCATGAGATCCATGAATGCCACCAGGGCATTCGTCAACTCGAATGGCATCACTGTGAACTCGAAATGTCCATATCTTGTCCTAAACGCCATATTGGGGATATCCGCCTCCCTAACCCTCAACTGATGGTAACCGGTATGGAGATCTATCTTGGAGTAGAGTCGTGCTCCTCTCAACTAATCAAATAAATCATCAACCCTCGGCAAAGGGTACCTATTCTTGATAGTAATCCGATTTAACTGCCGATAGTCTATACATAGTTGAAGGGTCTTGTCCTTCTTCTTAGCAAACAACACTAGAGTGCCCCAAGGTGAATTGCTCGGTCTAATAAGGCCCCTGTCCAACAATTCCTGTAATTGGACCTTGAGTTCTTGCAACTTAGCAGGCGTCATCCTATGTGGAGTCATTGAAATAGACGATGGACCAGGGTGCAACTCAATGGTGAAGTCTACTACCATATGTGGAGTTAATTCCTATAACTTATCCAGAAAAGCATTCTCATACTCACAAACCATCCGAGGTAGATCCAACTCCTGTCTTGCCTCGTCCTCCAGGGTAAGGCTTGCTAGCCAACACATCAATGTCCGTGCCAATGGGAGTCATACACTACTTGGGGTAAAGCATCATGCTTTTCCCCTGGAACTTGAAACAATCACCCTCTAGTGTGTAGGCGGGGACTCTCTTCCGATCACAATCAATGACGACTCGGTGTGCCACCAACCAATCCATCCCAAGGATGATGTCAAACTCCAACATGTCCATGACCCTAAGGTCCAGAGTGAGTAGAATCCCTGAGATTTCTAACTCACAACCCCGGTATATCTTATCAATACTCACCCTAGCCTCTAAGGGAGAACTCACATACAATGGCTCTTCCAAGGTTTCGACCTCTAAGACCAAATCTTTCACACATGATACAACAATAAAAGAATGAGATGCATCAAAGCAAATAATACCCTTGCCCATAAGCGAGAGAGTAGAAATATACCCTGAATAACTGAATGATCCGCTGCCTTAGTCTGAGGCATAATGGCATAGACACGCCCCCGGGTCCCTGAAGTCCCGGCTTGTGAGCCCTATCCTCGACCTCTACCCATGCTCTGGCCCATCTGGCCTGATTACGGAGTCCCCGCTCGTGAAGTAGTAGGGGCCTGTGTAGCACCCTGGAACTGGTACTAATTTTCCTGGCCCATGGTGGGTAGGGAGGGACAAGGTATATCTGTGGCTGCCTCACTGATGATTAGGACTGAGATATCCCATAACTCAGGGATCCTTGCCTTTGCAGGTAATCGCGCTTCATGTGACCCGGCTGATGTCAATGATAGCAAGTCCTCTGACGTGCCTGGTAGGAAGGCCTCTAATTTCTCCCACCTTGGGAGGATTGACCCTGGCCTTGGCCTTGATAGACGCGGCCTTGTGGAGTCGAAGTCCTTTACCTCTTCGCCAAACTTGAAGAAAAAGATTGGCCCTCATTCTTGTTGTCTTTAACACCAGCTTTTCGGATGTTCTGTGCGTCATCTACCTCTCTCTCAATGGCCATAGATGTCTCAACCATCGACCCCAAGTCCTACAGGCGAAGGCCCACAATTTTATCCCGAATGGACAATTTCAAGTCATCCTCAAACTTCCTCACCTTGGCTATGTCTGTGGCCACATAATCATTGGCGAAACATGCTAATTCTGTGAACATAGCCACGTATTCTAATACCGTCATAGTCCCCTACCTCAAGTCCAAGAACTCCCGAGCCTTAGCTTGCCGGACAGACGCCGAAAAATATTTGCCCATGAAGAGCTCTCGGAACTCTCCTCATGTCGTTGCTTCGAAAGTTCTTCAAGGCTTTAGCCCAATCCCACCATCGATGGGCTTCCCCTTCCAGCTGGAATATAGCTAACCTTATTTATAGTGGCATCGGAGGTGATCTATGTAGCCTCTAAAATCTTGTCAACTTGTAGGAACCAATGGTCGGCCACCATCGGATCTACCCCTCCCACAAAAGTCAAAGACTGGTGTGCCTTAAACTTTTGGAGATTATTTGAGCCTCCTTAGCCTACATTTGTACTAGCCTGTGCAATGGTAGTAGTCGCAACACTAGCCTGTGCAATAGTAACAGCTACAACACCAATAGCCTTCACGAAGGCTTGATAGTCAACGACCGGTGGTGGTTGGTTGTTGTTCCACCCAGCGCCTCGGCGTCCTCTTCCTCGATTTGCCATCTACACACATGTAAGATAACAATAGAGCCTCACATAGTATCCCAAGATAGAGATGATGTATAGACTTTGAGATTTCTCTCCTTGTCTCACTAGTAGAATGTATGCCACCACTAGTAGACATTTACACCTTGAACTATCCCCGTTCATCCCTTTTTTTGAACCCCAAGGTTATGTTTTCTAACCCTAGTGCTTCTCCTTTCCATATATATTTCACTATGCATATAATTCAAATAACACATAGCACATAGCACATAACATGTAGAATTTAAGCACATAATATGAAATGCACAATGAATGCAATGGCCTAGACCCGTGCTTATCAGGCCCAAGGTAAATCGTATACCTAGGCTCTGATACCAAGCTGTGATGTCCCTAAAAATCGGTGGTCCTTTGTCAACCGTTGACCATCCTTCAACCCGCAGAAATACCCATGATTGTCGCCCAATCTCACATCATGTCTACAGAATCCCTTTTACCAGGATTGTTACCCACACGTTTAACGCATGCATATTTTTCCATTTGACCCAACCGAGTCTAATATACCATAATTTATACTTATTTTATGTCCATTTATATCCTTGGACCCAAAGAAGTCAAAGTCCAAAAGCATGGCAAGGCAGTCTTAAAGTTTCAAATTTTTGGAGAACCTACAAGTAAGACCTACCGGTAGGTTTTGTCCACTGGAAAAGTCCTACTAGTAGGTTTTGCCCAGATTTTCCTGTTTCACCTATTTTTCATTTCCAATTCATTTCAAACCCACCCAAACTCATATGACATATATTTATACATCAAACACAGTTAAAACAAGTTTTATTACAATCATTTTCAAAAGATTACATGTCCAAAACATGATTTTCTCAATATTTTACAAAAATACAGATTAAAGGCCATAAGTTGGCCTCTCTTCATTCTCGAGGCCCCAAATAAGAGCCGTCCACCAGCGTGTATCCTACACCTAAAATATTTTTCCGTATAGGGTGAGCTACACTCAATAGAGTATCTCCTACAGAAACTACTCTCCAACCTAGATACATATGAAACGTGGGCATGCAACAATTAACAACCATTATCCATTCCAATCAAGAACATGTAATTCAAGATGAAAATTCTATCATGTCATGTCATGATATGAGATGATACTCATTTGTGCACTTTAACCTGAGTCCTCACCAACTCCCACAATACAGTGCAATGCACATGTTTATGAAACCAAATCATTGTTGGATGTTACCCATCGAATGAGTACTTTATAAAACAAAATTATTTGTCTTTATTGGATATCGGATTTTGGAATCACACTGCTGGCTCCGTATGCCATTACACTTTTCTAGAATTTCACCACAGGGGAATGTATGAACCAAGTAGCCGGGTTTTTCACCCGAGGGAGAATCTATCCCTTCTTGCTATACTCGACAAAATTTTTTGTGCAACCATGCGACTTAATCGGATCTTGAATCCAACTTTCCCGAGTTCACCCATCAATCACCAAGTATGGTGTTTGATCAAATCATGCACACACACTCACACTCATTTCGAATGCCTATGAATGCAATGTTAACTTCATGCTCAATATGCAATGAATGCCAACGAAGCAATTTAAACCGCATATCAACATATCCCATGGAAATTTATATCTCAACATATAATCACCATTAGCCATCATGATGCTAATATATTAACAACATATATCAACTCATTTATTCAATTACCATTTTCTCAAGCTTGGCATACATCAATCATGCTATAACAATCTTAATTCTCACATAGGCATTTAGCAAACACCTTCAAGGCACCAAATCATGTTATCATATAAAATTTCCCACATAAAAACAAGTTCCAAAAAATTACACAATTTACTTCGCTACACCAAATTCAAACTAGAAATTGGTTTAAGTCATTCGCATACCCATTTCCTTATTTCCATACACATACCCATTCCATATGGACATCCAAGGTTAGAAATAAACCAAAGTAGGAGGGAACCCTATCTCTTGAAGTGTAAAATGAAGGGTAGAACCTTCAAGAATACCTCGCAAGCCCAAAACTCTTGATTTTCCCCAAATCTCCTTTTTGGATCTTCAGTGAAATCCTTCGTTCTTGGTATGGTTACGTATCAAACACAGACGACAACTAGAGGCGACAGAACTTCATGAGGGGAGGTCCGATTAGGACCGGTGCTAGCAGTAGTAGAGGGCAAAGAATGACACCTTACCTTCACCCGGACCAGGATATTGAACAGAGACTTCAGAAAGCCCGAGGAGTTGGAGACATACTAGAGAGAGCAGGCACTGACCCACGTCAATCCTTCACATGTGGAGGTTTCGGGCACTTTAAAAATAAATGCCCATCGTTTCCACCAAAGACCAATACAAGTGAATGCAAACAAGCCGCCACTCCAGAAGCTACTACAACAGAGATTGTTAGGAGCTCTAGCCCTAGGCGACGCCAATCAGGGAAGAGTGTTTGCTTTGACCCAACTGGAGGAGGATGTTTCCAATGCCGTTGTGGAAGGTATTATTCTTCTCTACAATTCTTGGGCCTGAATTTTATTTGATCCCAGTGCTACTCATTCATTCATACGCACTACATATGCTCTTAATTTGGGATTGGACTTTGAGAAGTTAGAACATGGCTTGAGTATTGACATTCCTATAGGAGAATGGTTGGATACTAGAAGGGTTTGTAGAGGTTGTGTGCTTCAAATTGGGGAGAAAAAATTAATTATAGATTTGGTTGCATTAGACATGAAGGAGTATGACATAATATTTGGGTTGAACTTGTTGTCCACTTTCCGTGCGGTTATGGATTATTTTCGTAAATGGATGAACATTTGTTTTAGAAAAACGCAATTAAAATTCACATTTTAGTTTTTCTTCATCAATGAGGGCCTGAGTGAGAGCCATCCACCGACGTATGTCCCGCACCTGAAATATTATCCCGATAAAGGGTGAGCCACGATCAATAGGGTATCCCCTAAAAAGGCTACTTTCGAACCTAGATGCATATGAAATGCTCACATGTGATTCGATAATCAACAAAAAATCCATTTAAGAATATGCAATGCATAATATAATTTTCTATGTCATGTCATGTCATAAGATGAGACATGCAACTCAACTTGAGGCTTCACTGGCTCTCATAACACAAGCAATGTCATGCATATGAATTCGGGCATTCCAAGCCCCCGTCATTGATGTTACACATCCAATGAACATTTTATAAAATAAACTATGTATCTTTCTTGGGTACCCAAATTTTGGTATCCCACCATCAGTTTCGTGACGCCAATACACTTTTTTAAACTTGCACCGACGAAAGTGTACAAACTAGTAACCGAGTCTTGCACGTGAGGGAGAATCTAGCCCCCTTGCTAAACCAAACACAAGTTTTTTATGCAACTGTGCAACTCAGTCAGACCTGGGTCCAACCTTCCCGAGTCCAAGCCTCAACCACCAAAAATGATGTTCAATCCAAAAACATGCACACACACCCTGTAAACCCCACACTTTTATATTTATCTATGTATATAGGTATATATAGCAAGTAATTATTTCTTTTGAAATGAATATGGTAAAATTCGAGTAAATAGTAGTTAAAATTTAGTTTTAACTTGCAAATATATGAAATCGTTGTAATAGAACTTGTACCAACTAGGTTTGATGTACAAAAGTATGTTATATAAGTTTGGATTGGAATTGGAAGGGCTTGGAATAGATTGAAAATGAAGAAGGGAGGATTTGAAGAAAAACAAGCAAAACCTTCCGGAAGGTCGATGAAAAACCTTCCGGAAGGTTAAGGTAAAGGCTTATCCGGTAGGCAAAACCTTCTGGAAGGTCGATGAGAAACCTTCTGAAAGCTTAATGAAAATCTTTGTCCAGTAGACAAACCTTTAGGAAGGTCGATGAGAAACCTTCCAGAAGGTTAATGAAAAGGTTTGTCTAATAGGCAAACCTTCCGGAAGGTCGATGAAAAACCTTCCGGAAGATTTTCTAAAAAATTTGAAATTTTAGGTCGCGAAACAGCTGATTTTTCTTCCACTATAAATACCTAAGGACGTTCCATGTAGCCCCATTTCAACATCTCTAACCCTAGAAAACCTTAGAAAGGAAGAGAAAAACACAAGATCAAAGGGGATTTTCACTTCTAGAAGATTAAAACCCTAGTTTTTTTCAAGAACACCAAGGCAGGGGTTTCTTCCTATTCTCTTACATTGAGGCTAGGGCTTATCTATATGTATTCTTTTGACTTTAAATCTTATACGTATGCTATGAAATCATTATTTCTTGGTTATCCTTGCAAAGACCACCATGTTTTTAGCAAAGTAATTGTTGGATAGCCATTAAATCTCTTTTCTTGGCATAAAATCCTAGTTTTCAAGATAAATGAATTTTTCTCTTGATTTTTCCTTTGTTCTTTATTTCAAAACTCTAGTGCTTAGATTGGAACAATAAAAACTTATCTTTTGATGATCTCTTGCTCATTTTATTGAATTGTTATGTTGGAACAATAATACTTATGGAAATTGGGGGTTTGTGGATTGACTTGTGATTTGAGAAAATGGTTGTTTGTACATCTCTTGTATGGTTGTTGTGATGGACTTGAATTACATTTGAGCACTGCCGTAGAGTGTTAGAGGTTAGTCTATCCCAGTGGGGGTGAGATGGTTTCCTAACACTTGTAGTGGTTTGTTGTTTGTGAGAGCAACCACTATTGTTCACGTAAGTTCGAGACTGATTTTCTAAACCTTGTTCGAGTTTGGGAGAATGTTGCTACAGAGCTTAGTGCTCACCCCCTACAAACTATATATTTTTCAGATTGTGGTCTAGACGAAGAGCTCGGAGTTGAGGAGCTGTTGCATTGGGAAGCTCCATTAGAAGGGCTTGTGGAGCCTGAGGTGGACATGCAGGGTTATACTCTCCTAAGAGCTAGACTAGGAAATTTCTTTTGAGATTATGTAAAGACTAATCTTTTGTTATTCCGCAGCAAAGTTTAATCTTGAT